TATATCTTTATGTTTGAAGCCTGAAATGTGGCAAAAGGTTGAAAAGTTCAAGGGGGCCGAATACTTTCGCAAGGCACTGTACTTTGTTTTCTATTAATCAAACAGTTTTCAGTCCAAGTACATGCATTACCTTGTGCAATTTGATAATTACTCTTTTATGAGGTACTGTACATCATCAATACCCCTCTGAAAATCTAAATACACAGTATCCTATGCTATGTTTTGTACCTATTACAATTGTCTCTTATTCTGTATCCTAGCTATAAAGACCAATTCCATTTAACTTGACATTTAATGGAAGTAAGGCGTATCGGTCTTACGTATACTGTATGTAATCTAGGAAGTCCAATACTTCCCACATATGCAGCAGATATAGGACATATACAGTACAGTAGAAAGAACACCGTCAGGGTGGGGAGAGTTTGTAGGCTATTGCTATTAAATGTTTAACTGTGGATTACATCAGTATTAAATGCACTGATGTAGAAAGCTCTGTTATATACACAAAGGCAAAACACTTTGTGATATATAATTATAAACATGTTGCTGTAATGTTCAATATGTTTTTTTCAAAAGTACAGTAAATAGACTCCCTCTTTAAAATATTTGCATATCATTACATGATACAGTGAGATACAGTTGAATATGTTGCATTCAGCATTTCCAAAACATTCCTTTTATTTTATTCAAGGTTGACTTTTCCGCATTTGAATTTCAATGGTATAAAAAAACTGCAATAAATAAAGAACTTTTGTAATACTGTATCTTATTTCAGCTAAAGCATCCATTTAAACCAGTGTGGAGCCATGGGGGTAGTTGACACCACATTGGGCAGAGTCACACTCCCATTCTCCCCGTCACACCCCTTTATGAGCTCTTTTGGGTTCCTTTTCTTTATCTTACACACACTCTCCTCCAAGAGTGGTGCTCACACTGACCCCTTCATCGGGGTAACAGGATATATGACTCCACATTCCGTTAATTCTGGGCCCTTTACCTTCAGAGTCTCAAGTTCACCAAATTCATCCTGTTGTCCTCACTGCTAGGAACGTCCTGCTCTCAGCCTCCTGCTCCTACTCCATTAGGTCACTGTTTCACACACGACCAGTGCCTCAGACTCCCAGGTCCACCTCCAGCCCCGACGTCCTCTTCCCAACACCAACAGGTTTGGTTACACAAACACAAAACTACCTACATCACAGAG